CACGCGGAGCACGACGACCAGCTCGGACAGCACGGACAGACGACTCTGGACGCGACTCAGACGACTCTGGACGAGTCTCAGGCGACGGAGGACGAGACTCAGGCTCACGACGCTCCGTAAGACCTCCCGTCGGCTCAGCGTAAGGAGAAGGACCAGGCAGTGGAGAGGCTGGCTGTAACTGTGACTGCGACTGGACAAGCGGTGGACTCAGGAGGGGAGGAGTAGAACTAGGAGAGGGCGGGAGGCCAAGAACCTGCTGAAGGAGCGGAACGTAGTACGGCCGCGGCCGCTCAGCACCTCCAGCGTCAACCCCCTCAGCAGCTGCACCAGCAGCACCTCCAGTAGCTCTAGCAGCAGCACCAGTACCAGCAGCACCTCCAGTAGTAGTAGCACCTCCAGCAGCTCCAGTAGCACCAGCAGTACCTCCAGCAGCTCCAGCGGCACCAGCAGCACCACCAGCAGCTCCAGTAGCACCAGCACCAGCAGCACCTCCAGCAGCTCCAGCGGCACCAGCAGCACCACCAGGAGCAGTAGCACCTCCAGTAGCTCCAGTAGCTCCAGCACCAGTAGCAGTACCTCCAGCAGCTCCAGCACCAGCAGCACCTCCAGTAGCGCCAGGAGCACCGCCAGCAGCAGCAGCACCACCAGTACCAGGGTCCGCGACACTAGGAGCACCACTCCGGAGACTGCAGCGCCGAGCGTACCACTCTCGGAGCCGCTGAGGAGAGGGCAGCTCCCGCCTAGGAGGGGAAGCACTCGCACCAGCTCCAGCAGCGCTCCGAGTGCCAGAAGCACCTCTCCTGAGGCTGCAGTACTGTAAGTACCACTCACGCAGCTGCTCTGAGGAGAGAGCTCCTCCAGGTGCAGCACTCTCAGACTCAGCACCCCCAGACTCAGTACCCCCAGTCTCAGCACCCCCAGACTCCGCAACCCCAGGCTCAGCACCCCCAGGCTCCGCACCCCCAGGCTCCGCACCCCCAGGCTCCGCACCCCCAGGCTCCGCACCCCCAGGCTCCGCACGCTCAGGCTCAGCACCCCTAGCAGGACGAGAGTCGACAGCTACCTCGGCAGGCTCAACCGGGTCTACCTGGGACACACCTGAGGGAGCGGCACCCTGAGGGGGGAGGGGGTCTACCACAGCAGCACCTGGCGTGAGGAAGAGAGGCGGGGGGGAAAGCGGGGCAGTGTGGTAGGGGAAGAGGCGGTAGTAGGGCACCGACTCGTCAAAAGTGACGTCCTGAGAGGGCAAGACACGGTGCGAGGTGGCGTGGTAAAACTGCCAACCAGACGCGTCCGGGACAAAGCCAAGGAAGACACAAGGAACAGCACGGGAGGAGAGCTTGTCCGCGGACGTATCGCGAACAAAAGCTCGAGATCCCCAGACCCGGAAACGCGACGCATCGCCAACCTCCCCCGTCCACAGCAGTGTGGGCGAGGTCTCCGGCAAGGAGACACGGGGCCAGAGGTTGAGCTGATGCGCAGCGTACCGGACCGCAAACGGCCACAGAAAGTGGGGGGCAGCCGCATGGATCAAGGAGGTACGAGCGACCTCCATGACCAAGCCAATGCGGCGCTCAGCAACCCCATTCTGCTGTGGAGAGGCCGGAAGCGTGAACGACTGCTCAATGCCGTGCTCCGCACAGTAGGCCGCCAAGAGGTCGGAGGAGAACTCACCACCTCTGTCAGAGTGCAGACGTAAGACAGGAAAGTCCGAGTGGAAACGCTCGCTGAGCTGGAGACGAGAAGCGCGGATCCAAGGGATCAAGACATCAGGGACCTCACCCTTGGTGCGCAAGGGGAAGACCGTGGTGTAGCGCGAGTAGTCGTCAACAACGATCAGGAAGTACCTCTCCTGACCCTGTCCACGGACGCGGGCTGGGCCCCACACGTCCATGTGGAGCGTCTGCAAGGGAGCAGTCGTCGGGGGAAACGAGGAGGAGTGAGGAGCGGCGCGCTGCCGCCCCTCGACACAGGGAAGACAGGGAGGAGCAGGCGAGGGTGGGAGGGGAGGGAGAACCCTGGGGAGACCAGAGACAAGGTACTGTTTGTGCATGGCACGAAGGCGCTGCACTGACGGGTGACCAAGGCGGTGGTGCCAGAGGACGGTCTCGTGCGCCAGAGAGCGACACGAGCAGGGGGCAGACAGCTGACCTGATGCGTGATCGTACAGCGAGATATCCTCCTTGGCAGTGAGCTGGAGGAACAGGTGCAAGTCATCGAGCCAGGTCTCAAACTTCAGTGGGCGACCCTCAGCATCGAAAGCTAGAACAGCAGGGCTAGCCATAGTTGCAGTAAGAGCAGTGGTAGCAGCAGAAACAGTAGCAGACGGTGAAACCCTAAAAGCAGTAGGCAGTGCGACTCGGGTAGAGCGGCTCGGTCCAGAGGGGGCTGCTCAGTACTGGGAGGGCGGCGCGGCTCGGTTCGGGCGGCGCGGCTCGGCTCGGTTCTGGGCGGCTCGGTTCGGGTGGCTCGGTTCGGGCGGCTCGGTTCTGGCGGGGCCGTGGCGGTCGCACTTGGGGCGGCTCGGTTCTGGCGGGGCCGACGGGGCCTCTAAGGGGCGAACGCGGGGCCGACGGGGGGCCGTAAGGGGCGGCGACGGGGCCTTAAGGGGCCTCTAGGGGGCGAACGCGGGGCCGATGGGGCCGCTAAGGGGCGGCGACGGGGCCTTAAGGGGCCTCTAGGGGGCGAACGCGGGGCCGACGGGGCCGCTAAGGAGCAGCGCGCGGGGTCGACGGGGCCGTAAGGGGCCTCTAGGGAGGCGGCGTTCGGGGTCGACGGGGCCTTGAGGGGCCGCTAAGGGGTCGACGGGGCCTCTAAGGGCGGACGCGGGGCCGACGGGGCCGCTAAGGGGCGGCGCGCGAGGTCGACGGGGCCTTAAGGGGGGGCCGTAAGGGCGGCGCGCGGGGTCGACGGGGCCGTAAGGGGGGCCTCTAAGGGCGACGCGCGGGGTCGACGGGGCCTTGAGGGGCCGCTAAGGGGTCGACGGGGCCGTAAGGGGGCCTCTAAGGAGGAGCGCACGAGGGCGCTTAGACAGTGGGGCGCACGAGGGCGCTAGGAGACAGTCAGAGTGGTGGGCCCATAAAAAAAATTTCGGTCCTAGCGGAGGACCTGCTCTGAAACCATGTTAGAATGTACGAAACAGGAATAATGGACTAGCAGCAGAATGTGAGTACAAGTATGACAAACCTAGTTCTGTACCCCCTAGAGGCTAACCCACAATAGCCTACACAAATATAACACATATAATGTTTGACAGGAGGGGGCGTTCGACACATCACCCAGGTCGAGCGCGAAACGAAACGGGTCCGTCGAGGGCGAGAGCGGTGCAGTGCGGCCGAGATGGGCGTCGCTTCCGTCCGCTCGCGAAATTTCGCGGACGGGTACCGTCGGTGAGGCGGCGTCCGGCAAGGGTTCAGTTGGGAATCAAGGGGGTGGTTTGGGGTGGGTGCCCTAGATGCTGACAGAAAATGTGCCGAGTTCGCTTACGCGTTATATATTTCAAACTTGCCCGTAACGAGCAAATGATCGATAATTTTGGTTTGGGCGTTACAATTTTACATGCCCTAAGTAGCCTTGACCAACCCCATTTTTTACAACCCCGTTTGAGCGCATCTTGATCATGTGGTTTGAAATGTTTTGACCATACCCCTGACATGAGATGTACCGCGCCCTGAAACAAACAAGGTTCAGAACCCGCTCTGACTGGTGGCTTTCCATGCTTCAGCATCGCTCGCTAGCATCCTAGCTTCACTACCTTCAATCCCACTGGCCATACCTAGGTTCCTATGGCCGTCACAAGCCGAATACGGTTCCCTGCTCTCCAGAACTCGGTTTCCGCGCTCTCGATTCTATCCCCGCGATGGGCCGCATCCGATATTGTTTCAAGAGACCGATTCTTTTCCGCATCGGCGTCGCCAGCTGCTGACCAATCACCAAGATCGACGGCTGCCGTGGATCCGTCAGTAGAATCCGCGGCAGCAGCGGAGGAGGCGGGAGGCTGGCGAAGCCACGCGGAGGCGTGCAGTCGATCGCTCCGGCTGCACGTAGCGCCAGCGAAAAAGAACCTTCTGGGAGTTTTCCAAGAGTGCCAGACGGCGGAGGAGGCCGAAGCTTCCTTGCAGATGCTGGCGCGAACGAGGCTTGAGGTAGGCGGGGATGAGGGGGAAAGAGGTGCGCGGGGACGAGGGGGAAAGAGGTGCGCGGGGACGAGGGGTAAAGAGGTGCGCGGGGACGAGGGGGAAAGAGGAATGAGCGCTCGTGGAGCAACGGGGAGGGGAAAGAGGTGGCGTTTGAGTCGAGTCAAAAATCACCTGCGCGGGAACGAGGGGACAGACGATTGAGCGCTCGTGGAACAGCGAGGGGAGAAAGAGAGCGCAGGGATTGGTGGTTCAGGCGACTATTGAATCGACTAAAATCTCGCGTTTTGAGTCGACTCAAAACACGATTCAGGCGACAATTGAATCGACAGAAATCTCGCTCGTGGAGCAACGCGGGCGAGAAGGGAGCGCAGGGAACGTTGGTTCGGGCGATGTGAGAGAGCTGCTCACTTGGTCATTAGACAGAAAGAGGAGGGAAGGGGGGAGGGGGGAGGAAAGTTGGAAAGGGTGGGACGATGGGGGGAGAAGGGGGAGATGAGAGAAGATAAGTGGACTATGCACAAGCTGACATGCACAAGCTGACATGCACAAGCTGACATGCACAAGCTGACATGCACAAGCTGACATGCACAAGCTGACATGCACAAGCTGACATGCACAAGCTGACATGCACAAGCTGACATGCACAAGCTGACATGCACAAGCTGACATGCACAAGCTGACATGCACAAGCTGACATGCACAAGCTGACATGCACAAGCTGACATGCACAAGCTGACATGCACAAGCTGACATGCACAAGCTGACAAGGTCTTCAAGGTTTCGTGTAGTCCCGCCGTCCTTTGACCGTCCGCCCATGCCCTATGCCTACATATCCCTACTTATTGCTACACATTGTTACAGAACGCAGCGTATCGCAAGCAGACGGCGAACTTCAACGACGAGGTGTCGCTGGGCGTCGTGAGAGCATGCATCCGAGCAGGCGTGCCGCAGAAAGGTGAGTTTATTGTACATTTTTTGAACTCTCTAGTCTTCATCCACAAGCATACATCTGAGCAGGCGTGCCGTAGAAAGGTGAGTTTATTGTACATTTTTTGAACTCTCTAGTCTTCATCCACAAGCATACATCTGAGCAGGCGTGCCGCAGAAAGGTGAGTTTATTGTACATTTTTTGAACTCTCTAGTCTTCATCCACAAGCATACATCTGAGCAGGCATGCCGCAGAAAGGTGAGTTTATTGTACATTTTTTGAACTCTCTAGTCTTCATCCACAAGCATACATCTGAGCAGGCATGCCGCAGAAAGGTGAGTTTATTGTACATTTTTTGAACTCTCTAGTCTTCATCCACAAGCATACATCTGAGCAGGCGTGCCGCAGAAAGGTGGGTTCAAGTTACAGGCTTTCATTCCACAAGCTCCAAACACCGCAAGCTTCAAACCTAGGTGCTTCAAATCCACGAGCCTAAGTTTCACGAGCTTCGAAGCCTGCGACTAGCTTTGCTTGCACGCTGAACTTGCAGAAATTAAAGCCCGAGTTCCACGTGGCAGTTTTCAAATTCAAGTTTGTTGAAACTGAGTTCGCAAACACACCATGTTACCACCTGGTTCACAACAATCCGCCGCGTTCACGCAGCAGAGGTGATCCGTGATTGGACAGCGACAAAGCAGTAATATCGACTGGAGGGAGGGCTGGCAAGAGAATACTGTTCACACCGAGTAAACTTGAAAACTATCGGGAACGCATTGTCAAGCATATTAGGCAGATTACTAGATTAGGCTTAGTTCACCCGTCATAGACGCCCAAACTCCCTCCGTTCAGCTCATTTCAAAGCACTAACACATACACGCAATATCCACTCCACACCTGGCCTAATAGTAGACTCTACAGCAACTGCCGAAGAACAAACCTAGTGTTGCTGCGGAGCCCAGTCATGCTCCTAGCAAAGCTGACATAGGCGCTAGTCTTAGAACCGGATCTTTGCCTCTCGAGAGCTGGAACGTGTTCCCTGCCTGCCGCCCCCTCCGTCAATCCCTCTTAGCCCAATCCCGACGCCCACAAGGTCCCTGTTTGCTTAGCCAGAAATCGCGGGCTCTCGCTGCGCGGGGTGCTATATGATCCCCGCCGCCTCTCACTCGCCTACACGTCACGTTCGTTTCCCCTCGTCGCTCTCACTTCCCCTCGTCGCTCTCACTTCCCCTCGTCGCTCTCACTTCCCCTCGTCGCACTGATTTCCGCTCTGTTGCCCACTCTCCCCCTCTGTCGCCCTCGCTCCCCCTCGGCGGTAGAGAGTGTGATCAGGAAGGATAGAGAGAGAAGGCTGGAAGGGATGAGGGAGGGCGGGACGAAATGGGAGCGAGATAGCGGGAAGGAATGGGAGAGGGCGGGGGGAACTTCGGGCGACGGGGGGAACTTCGGGCGACAGGGGGAACTTTGGGCGACGGGGGGAGGGGGAAGGATCATGATGGGGAGGGAGGGCTAGGGCAATGGAAGATGGGTGGTGAGGGAAGGAGAGAGGGAGGTGGCATGGAAGGGCGTGCTCATGAGCAGAGTGAGGGAAAGGGTGGGAGAGGAGGAAGGAGAGAGGGAGGTGGCATGGAAGGGCGCGCTCATGAACAGAGTGAGGGAAAGGGTGGGAGAGGAGGAAGGAGAGAGGCGGGGAGGGAAGGGCGGATTCATGGGCGGAGGGGATGATAGAGATGATAGGAGGGGAGGCATGGAAGGAGGGGAGGGATGATAGGAGGGGAGGGATGATAGGAGGGGAGGGATGATAGGAGGGGAGGGATGATAGGAGGGGAGGGATGATAGGAGGGGAGGGATGATAGGAGGGGAGGGATGATAGGAGGGGAGGGATGATAGGAGGGGAGGGATGATAGGAGGGGAGGGATGATAGGAGGGGAGGGATGATAGGAGGGGAGGGATGATAGGAGGGGAGGGATGATAGGAGGGGAGGGATGATAGGAGGGGAGGGATGGAAGGAGGGGAGGGATGATAGGAGGGGAGGGATGGAATGCGGTACAAAGGGCGGGAAGGGAATACGTGGGAAGAGGGCGCACTGTAAGTGGGGAGGGAAGGGATGAAGTACGGGGGGGGAGGAAGGAGGAAGTAGGGGGGGGGAAGGGGGTAGGTGGGTTGTTGGGTAACGAGCCATGGCAGCAGGTCTAAAAGTTGGGGGCAGGGGGGGGGGAGGGCGGTGAGGGGAGGGCAGTCTGTGGGGACAGTGGGCAGTAAGTGGGGGGGAGTGGGAGGGATGTAAGGGATGGGGGGGGGGAAGGGGAATAACTGGGGGGATGTAGGGCGGTCAATGATTGGAGGGAGGTCTGTGGGGGAAAACAGGTGGGTGGGGAGGATGGATGTGTTTGGGGATATGGGGTCGGTATGTGGGGGAATGAGGGGAGGCGAGGACGGGCAGGGGAAGCCAACGCGACGAGGGGGAGCGAGCGCAGTTCCTCTCGTACTCTTTAAAGCAGTAATACTTTTTTTTTTTTAATGATGCGTTTTGTAGGTGTCATTTAGCAGTTTTTTATTTGGTTATTAATTTGGGCTTATGCATACCGTAATAAGTTCTGTTGTCAGGAAGTGAAGTCTCAATACCTGAATCGTCTTTTTTGAAAATTACCGAATTTGTAAGAACAGTGTTGAGCATGTTTTGTTCCTCCCTGAATCAGTTTCACGCACTTGTTCATGAGTGACGGAAGAGGTGGGGCGAGCACACTCACCTCCGCCTACCCCCCCTCACCACCCCTCCCCTTGATTCTCGGAAGCAGGGGTGTTGAAGTTGCGTGGCGAGTGGCGAGTGCTGCCTTTCGTCGCCACCTGATTCCGCTTTTGCCCCGCCCATATTTTCGAAATTCCTAGTTTTCAGGCTTTCGTCAACACCAATTCAAACTTCATGATTTTTGAAGATTTACCATGTGGTACTCGGGCTTTAAATTGCCTTTCCTTCTTTTCTTGCAGCTGCCTATGGTGCTTGCGTTGACTCAAGTTTGAGTTATCCTTTTTGCTGTCACGGCATGGGTTGTGGCGTCCCAACGTGATTTCTGCGTCCCAACTCCTTCCTTCTTCACTCCTTCCTTCACCACCTGGCAGCTTTGGTTGCCATTTCCCCAACCAATCCATTTGGCTTGACGCCATTGCTGGGAGCTGCACATCTGATTATGGTACGCGTCCAGCCAAACGAGATTGCAAATGGATACTCAAGTCAAACTTACCATACGAAGACATACCATCAAATTTCCCAGGGTTCATGTCCGCCATGTGTTTAATATCCATACAAAAGTTGTGAAGGCCTATTCTCCTTGACTTGTTGTCTGCGCTGCAGAAGCATGCTGCGTCAGCCAAGGATAACTCTCTCCTGCTCTCGGCTTTTAGTCAAATGGGGAAGGCGAAAATTCATCCATCACCCACCACCGCAGACATTGTCATCAGGTAAACATATCCTACATTGTCATCAGGTAAACATATCCTACATTGTCATCAGGTAAACATATCCTACATTGTCATCAGGTAAACATATCCTACATTGTCATCAGGTAAACATATCCTACATTTTTTTGTTGTAAACTCAGCAGTGGCTGGTGCATGGTGCACACGTAACATCATTGTTTCCACACCTGATTCGAAATTGCACCTTGGGTTGTGAATCATACCGGTATTGTTGCAGTGCTTTGCTTGCCCAAGGAGAGGATGTCCTGGCATCTCAACTTGCTCACAGCTTTCAACAAAAAGGGGTTTCTCTGAAGAAGGAAGTAGCAAGGAAGCTTCAAGAGGCAGCGCCTTTGTTGTGATGGGCCAAAGTGTGGACCATGTACAGGGCTGATTTTATCAGGGTAATTACCCTGATTTCAGGGAGATTTCAGGCTTTCCACTTCGTGGAGACTGAAATTTCAGAGTTATTGAATTTCCAGCCCTGATCCAATCAGAGTAATAGTTTAGCTATCCCTGATTTTGAGTACAGTGTAACAGACTAGGCTGTTAGTGGACCCTGACTTAACAGAGTATCGACTGTGTGGACCCTGACTTATCGACAGGAAGTTTCTCGGAAGTTTCGTTCCGATGACCCCGCCTTGGATTGATCGCAGTGATCCCCCCGCATGTGCGTAATCCCCCCCCTTCCCGCTTTATCGAGACGAAGTTTCTTCGAAACTTCGTTCTGATACACCTACAATCGAAATCGCGTGAATGTGCAATGTCAGATATACTTTGCTGGGATTGGTCGAAATAGGCTCTGACAGCGGAAATCTGTGACTCGAACAGGTCAATCACACCCGCCCTGCACAAATCAGTCGAGTGTACAGCCAGCAGGAAACACAGCGCGCAAACTTTATGGAGAGTGGGGATATTGTCCCCAGTAACAAAGCGCGCGTTACTACTCTGATGTTCAATTCTCGACCCTGAACAATCAGTGTTAAAACCAGGGTGCACATTCAACGCGGTTCGGCTTGAGATGTTGGGAAGGGGGTTTGGAGAAAAACAGTGATTGGCTCACGAGGGGCGACAAAAAAATGATTCCGCTAGAGCTTCGGGCATTTCGTAGGTGGCGGGAGGGGGTGAAATGGCGGGAGTGGGTGAAACCGAATGGCGGGAGGGATGAAACAGATTGGCGGGAGGGGGGGGAAACGAAATTGCGGGGGAGGGGGGAAACAAAATTGCGGGGGAGGGGGGAAACGAATTTCGACGGGGAGGGGGAAATGAAATTGCGGGGGCGTGGGGAAACGAAATTGCGGGGGAGGGGGGAAACGAATTTCGACTTGAAGGGGTTGAAAGCACACCTCGTAACCCACTCAGTCAAGGGATAACCTTTGATGCACATTCAGCTGAATGTCCACCCCGGTTTTAACTACTTTACAACCCTGAGCAATCAGGGTATTTCTTTTCTGGAAAATGTGCACCCATAATCGAGGGGGAAATTTTTCCCCGGAATCAGGGAGGCTTAAAATGAAACGTCAGCCCTGACCATGTAGTTGTTAGTAAGCTTGACAAAGCTTATTGGATTGGATTGGAAGTCCAAAGGCGATTTTATTGGTGTTAAGTTTTTTACTGTTGAAGGAGGTGACAAATAATATCTGCTGTCATTTTACATTCTCTGTGGCTGGTGTCACACCACTTCCGCTGAGGCAATCCTGTAAACCCGAAATCTTGCGCAGATCCTGCTAAGGCGCTTCACTCATTGTATCTGTTGCTGAGTTGAATTAAACGAATGTTGTTTGTCAGAATCCCAACCACTAGACCATTGGGATAAAAGGGTTTGTTAAGTAGCGGGTCAGTGCGCCCATAACCCCCCAGGCCAACGTGCCTGTAACCCTTCCCTAGGATCGATCGGGGATCACCAGTGGACCTCTGACACCCCCCCGCATTGGGATGCCCGAAGTGCACACACCAGGATTCGAACCCGAGACCTTCGCTCTGATACCATGTCAGAATCCCAACCACTAGACCATTGGGATAAAAGGGCTTGTTAAGTAGCGGGTCAGTGCGCCCATAACCCCCCAGGCCAACGTGCCTGTAACCCTTCCCTAGGATCGATCGGGGATCACCAGTGGACCTCTGACATTGTTCGCCTGCTTCACTTTTTGGAGTGGTTGAGAATGCTTAGAATCATCGTGCTTATCGAAGTGTACGGTATTGTGAAGAGGGAGAGGGGACAATAGTGGGGAGAATATGCCACTCGTAATCAACAAGGGTCTCTATAATATGTTTGGTAAAAAAATAACGGGTACGGTGACTACAAAGGGTGTTTTCACGTGTTTGATAAAACGTTTCACGGAATCAGTCACAATCAAATGGGAAAAAATAACGCGAATGGTCACAGATGAAACTCCCGCCCAAAAAAGATAATACCCAAAACGAACCTGGATGCATTTTCGGATGAATCAACCCTAAACACAACTCACCAGGTGTTTAGGGTTGATCCGTTCCCAAACCACATCCGATTCCGATTGGGTTTTAGTATTTTGAGAAATTAGCTGATTGGTTGGGCGCGAGCGGGAATTTTGTAGAGTTTCAAGAAATTTTGGCGGGAGTTACATGTGTGATTTTTCACCTGTTGTTAGTGTCTGAATCCGTGACCCCACTTACCAAACCCGTCAGAAAACCCGATACAGTGACCGTACGCGTTATTTTTTTACCATTCACGTTATCGAGTCCCATGCTGGTTACTTGTGACATATTTTCCCGACAATAGTGCTTGTACGGAAGGCTGAGCCAGGGAAAACAAGCAGGGAAAGGCGACGAGATGACAGACAGCTGTGCAGCGCTGCGCTGTAGCGCATAGATACACCTGCTGCACTCACACTGCCTGTACACTCTCCCCCGCCCCGCCCACCACCAACCCCACCACATGGCTGCCCGCCAGCCACACAGCACAGGTGTAGGCTTTTCCAGACGTAAAGCGGCGCCGAGGACGTAGTTACATAGAAGACTAATGGTTGTCGCCAGTTTAATTTAGTTTATAACTACTCCTAGCATGCGCGGCGTTAGAGGCGCGGAGGAGCAAGCGATGATCGTTAGGGCACGAAGGGGCGAATGTTGGGGCAAGAAGGGGTGGGGGAAGGAGGGCGCAATAGTATGAGCAGCAGCGGCGGCAGCGGAATGTTGGACGCGCGAGTCAACGCCGTCCCTTCCCCGCCGCACTTCGCCGCCGCTCCTTCCTCCCTTTTTGACCGCAATCGCGCGATGATGACGTCAGACGCCATGACGTCACACCGCAACTCGATGACGTCAGGCCGCAAAGCTGTATCGCCAGGGCATAAACGAGGGTTAGCAGGGCGCGGGGAAGCGGAGCCGACAGGGGCGCGCGGCGACGATAGCGCAATGGCGATGGAAGATGATTGCTTCTTAAAGCCGTATTACCCTGCTCCCGGCACTCGCCCCTCTCGCATCCCCAATGGCGACTCTCGTATCGGCCATAGCGATAGCGCCGCCTTCTCTCGCAGTCGCTCCAGCTCCCCCTCCCCCGCTCACTCCGAACCCTCTTCCGCCCATGCCTCGCCCGCCCCCGCGCGCCCGCCGTCCGCCCACAGGAGCGCGACGGCTGCCCCTCCGCGGCCCATCTCGCCTCTGCCCCCGCATGCTGTGCGGCGCAGACCGGGCGCGGAGGGGCGCGCGGATGGGCGCGCGGGGGTAGGGGCGGAGCTGCGGGAGGGCAGTCTGGGGCGCGATGGCGCGCTGATGGGCGCCCGCGCGCCTCTCGTGCGCGATGGAGCCGGCGGAGGCGGAGAAAAAGGGGGAGCGGAGAGGGTGAGGGCAGGGGGAGAGGGCGCGAGGGGAGGCGGAGAGGAGGCGAGGGAAGGGGGCGTGGCGCGCGGTAGCAGTAGGCCCCGGCGCGCGAGAGTGGCCAGCAGTGGTGACGCCGTCAACGCGGGCGCCGCCAGTGCAGGTGCGGTTCCAGGACCAGGCACTGCAGCAGCGGACGCCGCACACACAGCAGATGCGCAAGCAGCAGCAGCGGCGCCGCTGACGCGCAGATTTCCCACGGCCCCGCCCACACTTCATTCCGCCAAGCCTGCTGCGCCACTCAGCAACAGCGGCGAGGGGGGGGCGGGTGCGGCCGAGGGGACGTGGCCGGGCGAAATGGTGGGGGAGGGGGGAAGACGGGGGGAAGCGGGGGAGCAGATGCGGGTTGGGGCGAGGCCGGGCAGTGGTAGAGCGGGGATGAGACGAGGGCCCGGGGTGGGGCAGGCGGGCGCGCGCATGGGCGCGGGGATGGGAGGGGGAGGCGGGGCGCAGAGGCCTGTGACTGCTGGCGGCAGGCTGGCAGTGGCAGGGGCCGGCAACAGCCGAGGCGGTGAGGGCAGCGAAGCAGCAGGCAGCGAGGCGGGGGTGGGCGATGGGGGGAGCTGGAAGGCCCGCCCGACACACGCTCAGCAGGGCGTGGGGCAGCAGGGCGTGGGGCAGCAAGGGGTGGGACAACAGGGGGTGGGGCAGCAGGGGACGGGGCAGCAGCAGGGCAGCGCAGGAGGGCAGAGTGGGGCGGGGCAGGAGCAGCAGAGGAGGGAGCGGCGGCATGTGCGGCAGGCGAGTCTGCAAGTGGAGGCAGTGCAGCGCCTGCACGGCACCAAGGGCTCCGCCTCCCCTCCCCACGCAGCAGCCATGCCCCTGCCCCGCCGCCCCCACACCGCCCTCGCCCGCTCCCCCTCGCCCTCCCCCTTTCCTCCGCCCTCCACCGCTGCGCCGCCTGACGCGCGTTCCTCCTCGTCCCGCTCCGCCACCTCCTCCCCCTCCCCCCCTATCCGCCCCCAGCCCCCCTCGCCCCAAGAGGACCGCCCCCCCCGCGGCCTCTCGCAGTCCCCCCCGCGTGGGGGTCCCCCCGCGCCCCTGCACGCGGCAGTATGCGCGGAAGCAGGGGGGGGCAGCGAGGGTGAGACAGGGGGGTCCGCGAGGGCGGGCGAGAGGGGCGGAGGAGGGGGGCGGGGTGGCGTGCGGGCGATGGGGCGGAGCAAGACGAGTGGCATGGGGCGGGCGAAGGGTATGATGGGCGTGGAGCGAGCGCAAATTGGAATGGAAAGAGGTGTGATGCGCGCAGAAGCAGGGGGGCCGATGGAGGGAGTGGATGGAGGGGCGGCGGGCGGACGAGGCATCCCTGAGGGGGCTCACAGTTCTCTGCGCCAGCAACCGCTGCACGGTCCAGTCAGCGCTGACGTGGCACCAGCAGCAGCAGCAGGAGCAGCAGGAGCAGCAGGAGCAGCAGGAGCAGAAGCGAGCTCTCATTGGAATTCAAATAATCATGGTGGCAGTGAGAGAGGGGGTGAGGGGAATGGAGTGGGGGGGCCTGTTGCAGAGGCCAGGAAGGTCCGTGCAGGCGGGCAGAGCAGCACAGGCAGCAGCACTGAGCTTGCGCCACGAGCGGGCGGCAACGGACGGCTGCGATCGAGTGTGAGTTTCGGGCAGGCCAGTGTGTGTGAGCTGCGCTCTGCTGCCGCTCCCACTGCCACCGCCTCTGGCGCTGCCGTCACTGGCAGCAGCGGCGGCACCAGCAGTGCAGGGGATAGCAGCGGACGAGTTGGGGAGGGGGAGGGGGCGGGGGCGGGCGGTGCAGGGGGCAGGGCGGACATGGTCGCTGGCAGCAGGGCGGGCAGCGCGGAGGGGCATGCAAAGGGAGGGGCGGGGCGGCGGTTAACTCGCGCCCTGAGTGCCATGGAGGGGCGCGAGCATGCGCCTTGGGGGCCAGTTGCAGGGGCTGGGGAGGGCGGTGGGGGGAGTGGTGGTGGTGGTGGGGGGGGGGGGACAGGGCTCCAAAGGGCTGAGTGAAGGGGAGAGCACAAATGGTGGGCTGGGGAGGCAAGGGGGGGCGAGGGCGCGTCCAGAGCAGATGGCGGGGGAGGAAGGCAGAGAAGGCGAGAGGGCGGGAGGAGGGGTGAGTGCAGGTGAGAGCAGTGGGTTCGGTGGCAGGGGAAGAAAGGCGCGAGAGGGACCCGCCAGAAGTGCGGGTGGGGAAGAGGGAGCAGCAGCAGGGGTGGCGAGACCCGAGGCACAAACAGGTGCCGCTGTGGCCCTTGCTTCTGCCCCTTCCCCCGGTAGTGAGTCGGGGAGGGGCAGGGGCGTGCAGATGGGTGGGGAGAGGTGGACAGCGGCACAGAGGGCTGCAGCAAGGGACATGCAGTGGGAGAGGGAGCGGGAGAGGGAGAGCGGCAGGGGCAGAGCGACACGCGGGAGAGAGAGAAACCGGTCGAACCCTGCCACTCCCACAGGCACCTCCCGCACACCACGAGGGGCCGTGGAGGGTGGGGGGACGCTGAGGGGTGTGGCGGAGGGAGGGGGGGGTGCTGCGGGTGAAGGGGCGGAGGGAGGGGGCGGGTCAGGGGAAGAGAAAGTGGGGCGTGCACGTGCAAGGTGGGGTAGGAAGGGTGCGGGCGAGGGGAGGGTGAGGCGAGGGGAGGCTGGTGATGAGGGCGAGAGGAGTGGCGGGGCGAGTGATGGGATGGTGGATGGAGGGAGTGTGAGGCAGCAGAGAGGCTTAGAGGATGGGTGGAAAGGGCGAGACGGAGATAGAAGGGGTGGGGAGAGCAGTGAAAGTGGTGTGGTTGGAAGGGAGAGGGAGGGGAGAGAAGTGGCAGAAGTGGAGGGTGTAGGAGGGGAAGGGCCTGTTGGCATGGCGGGATTGGGTTCATCTGGCTTCAATGGATTGGGTTCATCTGGCTTCAAGGGGTTGGCAGTGGCACAACGACAGATGCAGCAGCAGCAGACAGAGCAACTGCAACAGCAGCCTCAGCAGCCGCAACAGCAGCAGCAGAGGGAGAGGGAGGGGCAGGGGTGGCAGCATGGGCAGGCAGTGCAGGGGGAGGCAGAGAATGGGGGTGGCAGCAGAGGGGGCAGCGCACAGGTGGGCGAGGTGGAGGCGGGTGCAGTGGGTGGTGGGGGCGGGGTGGGTGGGGTAGGCGGGGTGAGGGGGCGGCGAGGGGAGGTGGTGACAACCCGGCCGTGGCACGCGCGTGTGGGGGAGGGGAGGGGTGGGCGCGCGTGGGACGAGTCAGCAGCCATCGGGGCGCCGGTCACGCTGCTTGCTGCTGTGGGCAGCGGCAGTGCGGCGGAACTTGCATTACGGCCCATGCCATACACTGCTGCTGCTGCTGCTGGGGTTGCTGCTGGGGTTGCTGGCGGGGGTGCATGTGAGGCGATGCCGCTGACGCCGCCTGTGCTCTCCCTCACGGAGCGCCTGCTGGCAGCCCGGCACGGCGCAGCAGGGAGTGCAGGGGGCGGAGCAGCAGGGGGAGCAGCGGTGGGGGGCGGCAGGAGGGGGGCGCGCGCCATGGTGAAGAGCAAGTCAATGTCCGCCGCTCACCTGCACCTCGTGCCCTCGCCCCACGCCACTCCGCCTACTCATGCTTCTGCCGGGAGGGTTGCCATGGGCACCGGCGTAAGCACCGGCACGGGCGTGGGCGTGGGCGTGGGAGCGGGTGCAGGCTCTCTATCTATGGCCATTTCTCGCACATCCTCCTCCTCCGGCCGCCCCGCATTCCCGCACGCTGCTTCTACTTCTGCTGCTGCCGCAGCTGCAGAAAGTGCGTCCGCCCACTCACTTGCCATGCACCCCGGCCAACCCGTGCCTGCTGCCAGTGACACTGCATCAGCCGCCATGTTCCTGGGCATGGGCCTCCCTGCCGCTCGCAACTCTGATACCTCTGAGCGCCTGCTTCGCCTCACAGCGCGGTGGAGCGAGGTGCAAAGCGGTGGCGGCGGGCGGACGGGGGCAGGAGTGCACACGGATACGCCAAGGCTGGGCAGCGGCGTGGGGGGCTCCATGGACCTGCGGCGAGCAGCCTTCCATGCAAGCATGGGCGCCGGCACGAGCATGGGTGCGAGCATGGGCATGGGCGTGGGTGTGGTGGGCATGGGCACGGGAGGAGGGAGGGTTGGGGGGGGCATCCCAGCGTGTTCGAGTGCGGAGGCGGATGTGCCTGCGTGGGCGGCTCCCCAAGGGGACAGTGGGGGCGCAGAAGTTGGTGGGGGGAGCGCAGCAGCAGTTGCAGGTGCAAGAGGTGGTGGGGCGGGCAGGCGGGCAGGAGGAGGCGGTGCGAGCGGCCGGTCTGGGCTGGGAGGAGAGGGCCTCACCCGCGGTGGGTCGGGTGTGAGTGGTGCGATGAGAGCAGGTGCACCTGCAGCTGCTGCGCTGCGGCGCCATGGCAGCATGTCTCTACACCAGCAGCTCGTGGCTCCTCCTGTGGGAGTGAGGGAGTGGCAGGAGCAGGCCGTGCAAGGCAAGCAGCTCAAGATGAAAAGTGCCACAGCCGCTGCCACATCTGCCGCCACTGCTGCCGCTGCTGCTGCTGAGGCAGTTGTTGCCACTGCTGCCATCACTGGTATTTCTGCGTCTGCAGGAGCGGCAGCGAGTGGGGGCGCGTTGCAGGAGAAGGCAGTGAGAGCGTATCCATTGGCGAGGGCGCACACGACAGCTGCTCGCACCACACTGCGCACGCCTCCCTCTGCTGCTCTCTTTGACTCTCGCAGCTTCAGCAGCCGCGCCCCTCCCCCTTCCACCACCACAGGCGGTGCTACCACCACAAGCATTGGCAGTAGCAGCACAGTGAGCAGCAGCGGCATGGTGAGTGGCAGCACAGCGAGCAGCAGCAGCAGCAGCAGCAGCAGCAGCAGCAGCAGCAGCAGCAGGGGCTTCCATCGTGCTGCCACTCTGAACGCGCGCTCCTTCGGCGTCTCCCTCAACGCGCCTGCCCTCTCTGCCCTGCCTGCGCCTCACGTGCATGGGACGCCCTCCTTCCCTGCCGCAGCTGGTGCTGTGCCCGGCACGGGCAGCACCCAACATCAGCTTGCCCGCAGCGCCAGCAGCAGCGCTGCCAGGCTTAGGGGCGCGGCGGTGGGGGCCGGGGTGAGAGGCGGTGGGGAAAAAGGGGCGTTGAGGAGTGATGGTGGGCGGGAACAGAGCGGAGGAGGGAGAGAGGGGAGTGGAGGAGCAAGAGAGGTGAGTGGAGGAGGGAGAGATGGTAGCAGAGGAAGAAGAGGGGGTAGTGGAAAAGGGAGAGAGGGGAGTGGAGGAGGAAGAGAGGGAAGTGGAGGAGTAAGAGAGGGGAGTGGAGGAGGAAGAGAGGGGAGTGGAGGAGTAAGAGAGGGGAGTGGAGGGGACGGTGGGTGGGCAGAGGTAGCAGCTGTAGTGGCATTTGGGGCAGCAGCAAGTGGGGCAGCAGCAAGTGGGGCAGCAGCAAGTGGATCGATAGCAGGGAGGTCGGCTGCAAAGGCAAAATCGATGAGGGGAACAGCAACAGGGGGAACGACAGAGAAGGGAGTGGACGCAGGGGCAGCAGGAGGAGGGGAAGAAGCAGCAAGGGGAGCAGGAGCAGCTGGAGCAGTAGCAGGAGGAGGAGTAGCAGGGGCAGCAGCGGCAGTAGCAGGGGCAGCAGGGGCAGCAGGGGCAGGAGCAGCAGGGGCAGCAGCAGCAATAGCAGGGGCAGGGAGCAGCAGGGGAGGCGGTAGGGTGGCAGGGAGGACGCTGCGCAAGATGGCAAGTGACAACTTCCGCTCCTCCGCCCGTCCCATGGGCAAGGCCATGGGCAGCCATGGGGGCATGGCAGCTGATGGGGGCATGGGCATGGGCATGGGCATGGGCATGGGCATGGGCATGGGCATGGGCATGGGCATGGGCGTGGATGGGGTGAGCGCAGGAGGCAACAGAGCAGTGAGGCTCTCCTCTACTGCCAGCTCGCTGGACCTCGCTGTGCCCTCTGCTGCTGCTCTTGCTGCCTCTGCCTCTGCTGCTCGCCCCGCTAGTACTGCTGGCATGGGCACAGCGGGGTGGAGGGGAGATGGACGGAGGAGAGGGGGCAATGAGGGCGGTGGGGAGGAGCGGCGGGGGGAGGAGGAAGGGAAGGCGGGCAAGGAGGAGGCGGTGACGCCGTCCAAGGCGAGCCGAGAGGACAGTGTCACGCCCAGCCGGCTGTCCCGCGCCCGGCGAGCTGTTCTGAGTGCCGCTGGTAAGGAGCGCAGGCGCGCTGCTGGGAAGGGTGGTGAGAGGGGTGAGGGGGAGGAGGAAGAGGAGGAAGAGGAGGAAGAGGAGGAAGAAGAGGATGGAGAGGAGGAGGAAGAGGAGGAGGAGGCTGAGGAGGTGGGAGGGGAGGAGGGAGTGACAGATGCTGAGAGCGAGGAGGATTCAAGCATTCCTGTGGCCGCCCAGGCAGTGAGTGCGCATCATGGCAGCGCGGAGCAGGGGGGAGCAGCAGCAGCAGGGGGCAAGGGGAAGGCGGGGCTGCTGAGCAAGGCGGCCAAGGGCATGTGGGGTCTGGGCGGCCGCATCACACGGGCGCGGCTGAGGCTGCTGCAGGGCGGGCAGGCGGACGTGCTGGGGAGGGGGTTCTCGGACGTGCGTGTGGAGTATGACGTGGAGGGGGGTGAGCAGGTGGGCAGCGGGCAGTTCGGGGTCATCCGTGTGGTGACGCACCGGGCGAGTGGGGAGCGGCTGGCATGCAAGTCCATCAGCAAGACGTGCCTCAAGGTGAGTCCTCTTCATGCCACCCCACCCTTCATGCCACCCCACCCTTCATATCCTCTCTTTGCCTTCTCACCTCTCTGTTGCTCTCCCTGCACCATTACCTCGCTTGTTGCCATTGCCTCGTGTGGAATTCCTGTCTTTTGACCTAGCTCACCACGTCCCTCTTGTTGTCCCATGGCCCACCTCGCCATGCGCCTCTGCGTGCTGCTATGGCCGTACGGCAGTCGAAGGCGGATGCAGCGGACATAAGGAGGGAGGTGGCCATTCTGGAGCAGCTCAAGGACCATCCCAACGTTGCCCGCCTCGCTGCTGCCTTTGAAGACCCCAAGGTGCCCCACTCGCCCTGCTCGCTCCTGCTCCTGCCCGCCCATGCGCCTGTGCGCTCCCGTGCTCTTCTGTTAGCCCATGCTCCCATGGTTATCTTATCCACCCTGACCGAACCATCTCTTGCATTCCTTTGTTTCTTGCGACTGACCGTCTGCCCCTCTATGCTCTTCCCACTCCTCACTCTCTGCGCCTCTGCCCCTGTCACTCCTCACACCCCTGCGAGCCCTTGAGCATTGTTCCGTGTCTCTTCTTGTCTCCCTGTCTTCTGCCGCCTCCTCCCACTCTACTGTGGTTCTGTGGCACGCGTGTGCGTGGGGCAGGAGGTGCATCTGGTGATGGAGCTGTGTGCAGGCGGCAAGGTGTCTGACTGGTGGCCACATGGGCCCCTGCCAGCCCCTTGAGCATTGTTGCCCCTCTAATCCCGTCCCCCCACTCCCACTCCTTTTTTCCCGCCATCCCTCCCGTCCACGTCCCCCCTTCTCCATGTCTCCCCCCATCCCCTCCTTCCCTGCGCCAGGAGGTGCATGTGGTGAAGGAGTTGTGTGGGGGCGGAGAGCTGTTCCCCTGCACCCTTCCATCTGGTTCCCCATTTTCCCCTGTCTCCCCACATCTCTCCCATCTCCCTCCGTTTCCCCTGTTCCCCCATCTAACATCATCAACCTCCATGTCTCCCCGTCCTGCCATCTCAAACGCCCCCCCCCCTGTCTCCCCCGTCCCCTCCTGTCTTCCCCCGTCCCCCCCATCTCTCCTCCCCCCCTTCTCTTCCCCCTCTTCATCTCTCCCCCATCCTCTTCCCCCTCACCCCACCAGGAGGTGCATCTGGTGATGGAGCTGTGTGAGGGAGGGGAGCTGTTCGACCGCCTCAAGGCGAAGCGAGTGTACGAGGAGTGTGAGGCGGCAGCGGTGCTGCACACGCTGGTGGACGTGCTGAGTCACTGCCACGCCATGGGGGTGGTGCACCGCGACGTCAAGCCTGAGAACATCCTGCTCGTGTCCCAGCACAGCCACACCCATGTTAAAGTCATTGACTTTGGCATCGCCGCCTTCTACAAGCCTTGTGAGCCATGGGGTTAATCACAGTGAACACGTGCTTGCTCTTCTCTCTCTTACACCGCTGCGCTTCCCCTCTCCCGAGTTCCTCACATCACCCCCCTCACATCACCCCCCTCTCCCCACCTGGCAGCGCGGCCGCTGACGGAGTTTGTGGGCTCGCACTACTACATGGCGCCGGAGGTCATCGAGGGCAGCTACGGCCCACCCGCCGACATATGGAGCGCAGGAGTGGTGCTGTACGTGCTGCTGTCAGGAGTGCCGCCCTTCTGGGCGCGCTCGGAGGACGGCATCATGCACGCCATCCTGGACTGCCGCCTGCGCTTCAAGCCCGAGGTGTGGGGCAAGCGCTCCCAGCTCGTGCAGGACCTCATCCGCCGCATGCTCACACGGGACCCCGCCCTCCGCATCACCCCCGCTGGCATTCTTGGTACGCCCCCCTGTCCCTTTTCCCGCACCTTGTCCTGCAAGCAGGATTCCCAGTGCTCTGCATGTGCCATGCCATGCTCTGATGTACGTATGCCCGTTTCCATGCAGCTCATCCGTGGATGGCATCTGCAGCGCAAGCAGATGAGACGCAGCCGCAGTGACTACTGTGGCAATGGCAGCGATGCAGCAGTGCCGGTGGTTGCCAAGCGTTGTGGAAGCATCAAGTGCTTTAACATCCCTCACACCTCACCATCACTTGTGTTGTGCTCCCACCACGATGTCTATAGTTTGTGTTTCTTGTGCTTTGTAGTTGCCACAACAAGTTCACTTCTTGATGCCTTCTGTCACCTAGAGCTAGCCTCGGTTGTATGTGTAGGTATAATTTGGCTTGTACTTAGGCACATGTACAATATAGAAAAATATGTATTAAACTCAAAGTCTAAAGCTTGGGATCAATGTCTTGGCCTGATATCAGGCCTCAAGGTAGGATTTGAATAACATTTTCTCGTAATGGTGGTTTATGTTGGAAACATTAGTTTACGCTTATGAAGTATCGAGCAGTATAATAAAAGATAAGCATATTCACAGCGAAGCAACACCGAGTCAACCAAAGCGGTTGACAAGGCGACAACAAGAGGAGGTTGAAGCGAAGGTCAAAGGTCAGGACCTTTGACTTGACAAAGGCAGCGCGACAGCAAGGACAAATAACTGACTCGCTATTGAGCAGTTACCCGAGTCGTCGCTGTATCGAACCGCAACAACAGTTACAGTTAAACCTTTCGTATTCCTTGTAATCATATAAATCATTGTATCTCTTTGCTATAATCAATTCATCTTGTTCTCACGTACTAGTACAAGGTGGTTCAATTAATCCACTATTACGCTTCCGCTAAATACATCACCACTCTGAGAGTTTAGTCTTGAAACGATCCTAAGGGCTTTTTCAGCCCAACATGGTATGAGAGCCTACAAGACAAAACTCGACTCTGTTCAACTTCCTGCAACATCAGAAGACATGGCAACACAGAAGGAAAGAAGCTCGTCTACTGGATCTCCCGATACTACTCCTACTCCACCGCCAGCCTCTGGACTGCAGACAGAAGGAGGCACAACTCAAAGACCAGCTACTGAGTCAACTGAGACTCCTGCGAACCAAGCAACCGGCATCGACCCAAGCATGATGGAGAAAATCTTCTCCTTCATGTCGTTCTACAAGCGGCACCTGCGTAGTCAACCAGCAGCGACAAAAACAACGGAGTCACTCCCATGAGTCTCGACGGCTCATCTTTTGCGCGCGGAAATCAACAGCCTACCTTCGCACCGTATGTACCTCAACGCGGCTCTGTCAGCTTCATGCCGAATCAGCTCCCTCCTGGACAAGAGACGAAGACACTGGATGCACTTCAGTTGCAGTCACAATTCGCACACGTGCTGAAACTGCAAACATCAACACCGTCTGACGGAAAGGACTTCTATACCTGGTCCTTGGAATTCGAGCTGATGATGGAAGGCGCTCAAATTCTTGGCTTCTTCGACGGCTCCCTGCCATATCCAACGCACGGGACACAGTACGACAAGCAGCAGTACACGTACCATACACTGATGGCGTATACCATACTTCTACGAAACATAACGACAAACAAGCAGCAGAACATCCGGTCTTACCGCGGATACGAAAACTCCGCCGAGCTCGCGTACAACCAACTGAAGAACCTGTATCAAGCAACCGACAGCGTTAATCAAAGTCGTCTCATGGCGCGATTAACAACGGTCCATATGCAACCCGACGAAAAGGGAATGGCATATATCAGTCGCTGTCGCGACCTGCGCGATAGACTCCTTCGATCCAGCGGATCAATATCCGAAGAAGCGTTCGTCACTGTCGTCATCACAGGTCTCGGTCCTCAGTGGCGCTCCACTCGAGCCATTCTCCGAGCCCACAGAAGAATCTCCGAAGCTAATATTTGCATTGAAATTCATGCCGAACAACAAGACATGGACCTGCATGAAGAACGACAAAATAAAAGAGGATCAACACCGGAGTTCGCCTTTCATTCTCAGCGACGCAACAACAACAATCGACAACAAGAGCACCAAGCACGAAGATACATACCACCATTATGTCATCTCTGCCAAACGTTAGGACACTCTCACATTCATTGCCCAAATCAGCAGTAATCGACACCGTCACCACGTCAGCTTCGACCTTCAAGTAGTCAAGTAACTTCCACACAGCAGTGTGAAAATTGAAACAGGAATGAATGAACTAGGAAAGTGTGAGATACAAATATGAAAGCTGTACCCCTTAGTGTCTACCCCACTACAGCCTACATAGGCTAAGGCATATATATCTGACACACCCCCATAGGCAAAGTGGGGGAGAACTAGGGGTCACAAGACCAGTCAAGCAAAGCAAAGCAAAGCAAGCTCAGGGTGGATCACAACGTCACCACACAGTCTGAGCACAGGTTCAAAGGCCACAAGGCCAGTTCACATGCAAGTTCATATATAAAGGTAAACAAGCAAGTGCAGATATATATAGATCACAGAACAAGCAAAGTCAAGAGGTAAGCAAGTGAGGCCAAGTAGGCATAAGACCTAGCATAGTACAGAAGCGCTGATGATCACAAGGCTGAAGTGCCTTGGAAAAGATATCAGCAGTGTTGGCCTGAGAGGCCACGTAAGCAAGGCGCAGCTGGCCAAGCTGCTGCAGCTCACGAGCAAGGAAGTAGCGAAGAGCAATGTGCTTCGTTCTGTGCTCCAGTCTGTGCTCCCGACACAAGGCCAGCATGGCCTTGTTGTCTACGTACAGAACTGGAGGAGAACGAGGCGGCTCTTCCCGGTCAGTCAGCAAGTAGGTGAGCCAGCGTAACTCCTGTGCAGCCATGGCCCCTGCGTAGATCTCAGCCTCACAACTGGAGCTGAGAACAGAAGACGAGCGGGTAGACCGCCACGAAACAGAGTGCGGAACCAAGGCTGAAGGTGTAACCCTGTGACGACCGCTGCGTAGCCAGGTCGTCCACCCAAGACGCGTCTGCGTGACCAGTGAGGACCACTGGACTCCGCCCTCCAAGCACTAGCCCCAAGCCCGAAGTACTGCACAAGTAGCGCAACACCCTCTTCGCTGCAGCCATGTGCTCTGGTCGGTGTCTCCCAGGAGCAACATAGCGCGCCAGAATGTTCAGAGGGTATGCTAGGTCAGGTCGAGTGCAGGTCATCAGGTACATGAGGCAGCCAACAAGCTCTGGGTACGGGCCACTCGGCTCTACGGACTCATCCGAAGGCAGAGCTGAGAGCGAGTGGCGAGTAGACAGAGGAGTGGCCTGAGGCGAGGAGTACGTGAAGTCGAAGCGCTGAAGGACCTGCTGCACCATGTGTGACTGAGTCAGGGTGATGGTGCGCCGTGCTCTGTCCCGGGTGATCTGCAAGATAAGATAGCTGCGCAGTTCACCCAGGTCTGTGCACGTGTGTCTCTTCTGCAGCTCGGACTTCACGTGGGCGAGTCCAGCAGTGTCAGCTGTAGCAAACACCAAGTTGTCGACGTACACGAGGATGTAGAACGGCGGCAGTAAAGTGTCGGTGCGAAGAAACAGCGACGGGTCAGCAGTGGAAGGAGCAAACCCAAGAGCCGCAAGCGTAGTCCTCAGTGTGTCGTGCCACTCACGTGGCGCCTGGCGGAGACCGTAGACTGGCCGCCGGAGGCTCCACTGGGTACCAGGAGGAAACGACCCAGTGAAGCCAGGTGGGCGGCGCAGCCAGATCTCCTCGTGCAGACTGCCCTGTAGGAAAGAAGTGCTGAAGTCAAGGGAGTGAAGCTCGTAGTCACACTGAGCAGCAACGTGCAGCAGAACCCGAAGAGTGGTCATCTTCGGGGTCGGGGAGAAGGTCTGAAAGTAGTCAACTCCCTGCCGCTGACTGAAGCCTCGAGCCACGTAACGCCTTGAAGACAGCAGAGAACCCGGCGGCCGCTTCACCCTGAAAATCCACATGCCACTGACGATGTTCGCCCCAGGTGGGGGAACCTCGTCGACGTAGGTGCCTGTGGACTTCCAGGAAGCCATCTCTGCGTCCATGGCTGCCTGCCACTGAGAGGAGTAAGGACCCTCTATCGCCTCTGCGTAAGAGCGCGGGGTCGGGATGTCTGGTACATCCGGGTCTCCCTCAGGGGCAAGCAGCGTGGACACGAGATGAGGTAAAGCAGCAGCAAAACACTGGAACTCCTCCTGTCGGTCCTCAAGGACGTCCGTGCTAAGAGCACACTCACCCCCGACGGACGGAGGACAGACAGACGCAGACTCAGCAACAAGACTAGCGGCGTAGTCTAGACGACAGTGAGCAGCGAAGTCGACAAGCTCGGCAACTAAGGCAGACGCAGCAGTGGACTCAAAGGAAGGGTCAGTGACAACAGTGGCGAGGAAACGCGTGACAGTAGGACTGGCAGCACGAAGGGAGTCAGACGCCGGGTCAGCAAGAGCAGGAAGAGAGGACTCTGGAGGAGACGGCAAAGGGACACGCTGTGGCACAGTGGAAGGACGCAGTGCCATCTGATGCGTGCCCGGGACTGCAGGAGGACGCGGACGTGGAACACGACGACTAGTGCGAGCAGTGCGAACAGGCGATGCAGGACGCGACTCAGGCTCACGACGCTCAGCAAGACCTCCAGTAGGACCAGCGTAGGGAGAAGGAGCAGGCAGAGGGGAGACCAGCTGTAACTGTGACTCGGACTGGACAGGCGGTGGACACTCTAAGGAAGGAGCAGGACTAGGAGAAGGCGGAAGACCAAGAACCTGCTCAAGGAGCGGAACGAAGTACGGCTGCGGCCGCGCAGCACCTCCAGAACCAGTAGGGACAACACCAGTACCCCCAGCGTCAGCTCCAACTCCAGCAGCACCACCAGCTCCAGTACCTCCAGCAGCTCCAGCTCCAGCAGGACCACCAGCAGACACAGCCGCTCCGGCTCCAGTACCTCCAGTAGCACCCACTCCAGCAGCACCACCAGCTCCAGCTCCACCAGTAGCTCCAGCACCAGGAGCACCACCAGGCCCAGCAGCTCCAGTACCTCCAGTACGAGCACCTCCGGGACCCGTGGCTCCAGCACCCCCAGCAGAAGCAGAACCTCCAGTACCAGCTCCAGCAGCACCTCCAGCTCCAGAACCTCCAG